GGTTCCCTTTTTATTTTCACGAGACCTGTTTGGCGAGCGTCGATGAACAAAATGAAATTATGCAGATCCTCTGCTATTAACTTATCTCGGAACGGTTTCAGGGCTCTGATAAACGCGCGACGAGAACACAGGTTCGTCCGAATATTGCCTCCAATTAGCAGAAAACATTCGTCGAACGGATAACAAGCGAGTCTTTGGGCACGATGGAATATTAATGAACACGAAAAGTGGTTCGTTCGAATGAACGAGAATCGGCTGTTGGACGACTCGGTCGCTCATAAAAGGGATCGTACCGCGCGTGTCCGAATTCGGATACTTGTCACGGTCCGGGCGATCCGAACCGACTCGGAGATAGTTTGTCGACGCTCGAAAACTTGCGGACGGACCGCGGACACGTTTATGCAAATTCATATTTTTATGGGATGATTGCCCAACCGGAATTTATCGAGACATTTATGCCCAGCGTTAAAGCTCCGGGATTCGACCGGGAGTCGAGAATTTATTGAATCGTTGACAAATTTTCTTCTCTTCGAAACTCGTCGCTGGGACCATTCAAATGCCTTTTCTCGGGGCGACTTTACGACCATCCGAAAGGTTTAATGATTTCCTCTAGACCGTTTTTTCGACAACTTTGCAGAAATACCTTTCAGAACTGACTTCCTTATTCTGTAATTACTTTGCTGCGATATTTTCACGGGTAAGGATCTTGAGGACACATTGTTCAGACCTTCGATCAAATCATCGTCGATTCTTTTGTATCCGAATTTTGCCCGATTAATGTCAATATCGATTTTTTTGAATACCTTCTGCTGCGTGCAATGGTATCGGATTCGCGGTTTGAAAAGTCAGTGGCTACGGTACTTTGACTCGGTTTGCGACGCCAACGGGGTATGGCTTCCGAAGCCATTCGGACCGTGCACATGTGCACGCGTACGTGTATGCGCATTGTAGTTGTGCAGCTACTTTCTATACATACGACTGCGCTCGCAATCCGATTTCCCTGAAATTTTGCATTCCTATTGACCGCGCGAATGAAAGTCTTCCTACGAGCCTTCGTCACGCGAGACCATTCAGATTTCAAGCCAGCGATTTAGTTATCCTATATTTAGTTATCAGCGAAATATCGTTAATCCGAGGATGTCCGTTTTCTTTGGTTCGGACGATGATATCGATGCGAGCCAAGTAGATAATATCGGCTGACCCACCCCGTACATCGCGCTGTACGCGTACTCACGCGCCGGTGCACGAGATATTTCAGTTAGCTGGTTACACCGGCCAGTTGTGTTAAGATCGCTATCGCAAGGTTGCTGGCCGGCTCTTCCACTTGTTACTCCTAGTCGTTAGCCGTGCACGGGTCTCCGTTCGCATACTAGCCGCTGCTCTCCCCATCTAGGATGTGCCTACGAGTGGCTCGCTACCCGCGTACCCACACCACCAACCGCGTGGCGCGTTCCCGATTCCCGAGGAATTTCTCGGCCGTTTGCTCGAATTCGTTCTACCCGAGGGGCGAACTCGCATTTCTTCTGTTCCCGCGAATTGCTTCTGCTCCCTAGAGAGCCGCGAGAGCCACGCTTCGTCATGGACGATTTGCGACGACACTTACCAGCGTTGTTGTTGTTGTTGCCCTTTTCCAGCAAACCTGGAGACACTGGATTTGTCCTTGTCCCTCCAGGACTACCATCTTCAGGAGGTGACGCTGTACGCAAAACAGGGCAGAACGCTCGGCTCCGCTCTCAGTACGCAAGACATAATGGCGCTGCACAGGCAAGAGGAGCGACGCAGACAGCAGGCCAAACAGAGCGTCTTCGGGTTCGCGTTCAAAAAATCGAAAGAGTGCTCCCTGAGTACGGACAGCCTCGGCGGGCGGAGCGCTTCGCCGGCCAGGAGCGACGAAACTGGCAGAAGCACTAGTCCTCTTCAGCCTCCTGCCAGGCCGCAAAGAAAACGAAGACCCGCGCCCAAACCGCCCGTTCCGGCCCAGCCGGAAGTGAGTAACATTGCTGGAACTTGCTTCGGTGGTCCATCCGTTTTCCGTCTTGTCGTCTCTCGCGAGAGCGTCGACCGATGATGCGTTTCGTTCGTTTCAGGGAGCCGAGGAAAATGCTGCAGACTCCTGCAAGGACAAGGTAGTCATCAGTCACAGTCGCAACAGCAGCGACAGCTCGGGATATCACGAGGCGTCCGTGTTGAGCGACAATCCTGATTCGGCCGGGAGACTGCCGGAAACCCTGCCCAGAAGAAGCAAATTTCCGTCCGAGACGCCGAGAAAGTTAGCCCACACCTCACAGTCCAGTAAGAGCCTCAGCAATTTGGCTAGTGTTCCTGGTACTCTTTCCCGGGGAATTAGCAGCACCTCGTTGAGTTCCACAGGTAGAATTCCTTCCGTGGTACTGTGTCCCACGATCCCCCTTATATATGACTTAATAGTTTCTTTGTCTCTTCGTTAGAACAGTAATTTCGTTTAAAGTAGGCGTGAAACAGACGTAGAGTAGAGGTTGGTTATTCGAATAAGAGCATCTGGCAAGAACGCGCGGTTTTCGACAGGTCTGAGAAAGAAAAGGAACGCGCCTCTCCCTCCGGTGACCAGACCTCTGTCGTCGGCAATCTCCACCCAGGCGCTGGAGCGCATCGTCGACTCCGAGGAGTCGCTCACGTCGGACATGGATCCCTCCAAGCCTCCGTCGGACATCGGTGCTCCGTCCAAAGCCAACTCGGACATCGAGGAGCGACCAAAGGCTAGTTCGGACATCGGGGTGACCACCGTGGGTGCAAAGATCGATTTCGCAAATACGGGATCCTCGACGGTGTGCGTAGAGGCGAAAGCTGGGAAAATGGACGTCGAATCGCGTCACAGATCAGGATCCGTAAACGTTAAGTTACCGCCCAGTAACGAAGGACACACTGTGCCCGTAGAAGAGGCTCCCGTAGACGTTAGAGTTCCCAGCAAGAGAGGTAAGCTAGTACGTAGTTGCGCTAGCGTACAGGATAGCGTGCATTCCTACAGTTTCGTGTCGATGAATAGCTTCGAACGAGTGGTAGAGGAAGGGGAAGGAACGGCAACGATTAGGAGACATCGAAGTCTCTTTGATCCTGAAAAGGTGAAACTGCACTCCAAGATCGAGGAGTGTAGGTCTGGCACGAATAGAAACGACGACGAATCGCTCGACGACAAGTTGGTACGGTTGACTAGGTCGTTAACCGCGTCCTTGGACTCAGAAACCCAAAGTTCAAAGTCGCGGCCCAAAGTTCACAAGTTTCGGAGCTTCGCGTGTAGGAACGTTCCTTCTTCGGAATATTTCGATGCTCGCGACAGCGTCGAGTTATTCGATAGCGGCGGTCAGAGTTTGCTCAGATCTCGAAGCAGATTGATCAGAATGCAGACTTTGGCCGATTTGCATAATATATCGGCACGCGCGCGTCAGCCAGAGTACACGCCGGACTACGAAACGTTGGGGTTTCGTTCGGGAAGCCCTCGCTCGGACAACCGTGTTCGCGACGGCGGGCATCAAGCTAAAACGCTCGAGTATAGTTTGAGTTTTCAGAATGATTTCAAGCCGAGGGATGGTAGTTTCGAAAGGGTCAATTTGTCGAGTCACCGAAGCTTCTCTGTGAAAAATCACGTGTCCGGTAATCAATTAGAGACGTCGTCGATGGAAAGTAGGCAGCCAAAGTTGGGAAACGTGAGCACCACCAAGTGCTACGACGGATCCATTTTGTCTAGTGTCGGTAGAGATTCGTTCGACGATCCGGACGATAATCACAGGCCCAATCCTTCGGCGCCGCCTTTGAGTAACCTGCAGATATTCGCGATTTCAACGAAACCCTTGGACATTCCGGTGACCATCGTGGATTCGATTCCTAATAATGTCGATAAATTGCCGTCTCTTCCCATCGTCCAGCGTAGCGAATGTAGGCTAGAGTCGGAGAAAAAGCTGAGCATCTTGGAACCCCCTCCGCCTGGACTAGTGAGTAGAGAAGAATCCACGCAAAGCTGGAATAGGTTTTTGATTCAGTTGAATTCCATTTTAGAGAGTCGAGCCGGAGAATTCGTTTAGACGTTATCATTCGTACTCTCCTTTTCTAGCGGCGATGTTTCCGTTCCGTCTCTTACTAGGGCTCTATATATTAGTCGATCTTACTGTAATTAGAAAAGTATCGTAGTTATCGCTACCCTTATCTTGCATGCTCTAATCAAGTTGCGCCGATTGCACAAAAACTTTCCCAAGAGAAACGGTTCCCGACCACCACCCGCTTGCTAATTTCACCTATAGGTGACGGTTTCTTCTTTTTCTTTTCCTCCGAGTACAGTTGGAGAACCTGTTCCGCTTCCCAAGCCTAGAAAGACCTCCACCAGCGGTAACACGTCGGTGAGACCTCAAGTTCCGAAGCGCAAGTTGGCACCACCTTCCCCGTTGAGTAGAGCTTTACCCTCGAACTCCGGCAACGTAGATCATTTCGCAAAAGGTCCACCTCCTCCTGCACACTCTGCCAGCAAAAGTATTGCGAGTGACGCGAGTTCGAACGTCCTTCCGGGAACACCCGCTGTTGGCGATGGCACGAGTTCCGCCGTGTCCGATCGGAAACTCGAGGAGGATCGGGACAAACCAGACGTCGCATCCACCTGTTCCACCAGCGAGGATGAGGTGTTCTTGACTCCTGGAATCGAACACAGCCAAGCGTCCTTCGATTACGATTCGCTACCGTTGGAAGAAAAAGATCGGCCGATCAAGGTAGTATCAGCCAACAGTGAACTGGCAATTGTGCCTGCAACGCAGCGTCGACAGAGCTCACCGATCGCCGAAACGGTTGCCGGTCAAGAGAAGAAACTGTGCGCAGTGATCTCGACCATGCCAAAGTGCGAACATCTGGCCGAATTGGCCGAGAGCAACGGGAATTTATTCTTTAAGAAGAAACACGCCGAGTCGAGAGGGAACAACACCGATCGCGCGAATGATCGGCACAGAAGCGGGGAAGGTGCGAAGGAATCGAGGAGACCGAGGATCCCTCGAACGGCGTCGAAATCGAACGATTTTGAAACCAACTCGTTGGAAAAGCAAAAGAGGCATTTCACTTCGCATTCGGAGGATATCACGTTCGCTTTAAATCTGAACGTGGCGTCCAATGTTGGTTTATTATCTGCACGATCGGATCAGTTCGGTGGAAATGTTACGCAAGAACCAAGAACCGAGCGAAACACCGCTGATATCCACCGTTGTTTCGTCCAGGGTGAGGGTGAAGGTGAATCCAGTTGCGGATCGGGTACATCAGGTGCATGTTGCATATTACTAACGGACGGTGTTGGGCATCCACTTTGATCTGTCCCTTGTGATCTTACAGGAAGTCGCTCGAAACATTCTCGAATGACGATACGAACGTTAGTTTCTTTCCATAGAACCGCAGAATCTTGATTAGGATCTGACACTAAAATCACCTTTAACTTGCATTTGTAACTTCTTATAAATTATGTTCTTAAATCTCTCTCCGGGTCTCTCTCTCTTTCTCTCTCTCTCTCTCTCTCTCTCTCTCTCTCTCTCTCTCTCTTCCTTCTGTAGCATCGTTATCTTTATGAGATAACTACGAGACTCTCTACATCTCTGTATTCTACTTATTTTCAAGAAACCCGTCTGTTGTACACTTTCGTTCGTTCACATTTTCTGGAATTTTCTGCTTTTCCTTTATTTCCTTTATTCTCTTTATTTTCTTTAGCGATGGCGCCGCGTTACACGGGGATTGTTGCTTCAAGGTCAAGTTGCACCGTGTACAAAACTCTCGCACGCTTTTTCGTTTATTCGTTTATTCTCGTTTCTTCTACTTGTGAAAACTTTGATATATTCTTTGACCGGGCAAACATTGTTAGTTTCGCAACAACGCGTCGTACTCGCGTCTCACGATTACATTTTTAACAGATTGCAACCCCTCGGAGACGGACGTTTTGCTGCAAAAGGTGTCGGACACGCTGTCCAACTCTTTACCTGCTTCAACGTTGAGTCAAGTACCTGTCGAGAGATTCGTTTCCCTCGTCGAGGCAAAGTCGAGAACAACGAATGCCGAGAAGACCTTAAACGAGGAAGAGGACTCGAAACAGCGGCAAAGCAACGATTTCCCGGACGGTGCGATAGCGAAAACCAGTACTCCGAATCTAACGGTGAACTCGCAACAAGACACGTCGGACTATGTATCGGCAGCCGACGAGGATCTGTCTATCGCGGATTGGGAGTATCAGCTTCCAGCTCCGCCGAGTGCCTTCAGGGATTCTACTTCGCCGGTTTTCAACGACTTTAACGAGGTGATATCGTCGCCCGAATCCTTTCGAGATTCCGAACTCAAGGAACACGCGAAACCATCGGACGACAGAGAACAGAAAGCGAAACGAGAAGCGGCGGACAAGAAATCTGTGTTTCGCGAAGAAGACAAGAAAAATAGCAAACAAGAAAGATTCCATTTGCAATCGAAATCGGACTCGAATTTGAAGAAGGTAATGATCAGCGAACTGGAGACCAAAATAGGTACGTTTCCTCAGAGTACCGTGGATTTCGAGTCTAAGAAAGTTGCGGACAACTCGTCCGCTCCCAAGATAGCGCCTATAGACAACACATTGTCGAACTTTACCATCACCACCTACACCAGACAGAAAAGTCGGAACATATTCGAGGAAGTGGAGAAGCAATCCCAAGGAAAGACCACCGATGACAGGTTCGTCAAGTCGTTCGTGACACTCTCCAGGAACAGGAGCAACTTGGTCGATGGGGATGATAGAGCTGCGAAAGAATCGAACGTTGGAGGAACGTCGCAGGTGAAGACGAAGGTGGATGACACCGGTGATAGAAAGCTGGAACCAAAGATACATACGGAATCCCTGCATAGGCAATCGGGTAACGAAAAGACTAATATTCATAGGTCGAAGAGCTACGTGTCTGTGTGCGACAAGTCCAAGTTTCAAGAGACCACGCGTGATGACGAACATGCCGGGAAGAATAGAAACGCGGCGGCAATGGACGACGCCGGGATGAAGAAAGCAACGAGCATCAGCAACCTGAATGCAACCAGGAGCATCGAAAAGTTCTCACAATGGCGGGACAACATTCTGAAGCGGCAAGAGGAACCCACCAAAGAGAAGCAACTGCAGTCTTTACAGGTATATGCTTTAACTTATATAGACTTTGCTAGGTTTCTAATCGGTTCGATCGTATTCCAGGTACTGAAAAGCATTTTACCGCAGTTGAAAAATGCTCAACAGTCGGAGGAAAATGTGCCCAAAGAATCTGATGACACAGTATTACCTGAGAAAACGAGGTACGTCTTTGGAAGAGAGAAAAGAACGAGAGAGTTCGAAGCGTAATCGGTATAATTGACTTTCAGACCCGAGACTACGTCCAAGGAACATTCGATCGACTCGAATGTAGTATCGACTTGCACCGACAAGAAACCTGAGGCGGACACGAAGAAAATACCACCGGCGACCACCGCGAAGCGTTACACCTATTCCGGACCGCCAGCGATAAGTTTGGGCAGCTGGTCCGAGCGACCGAGCGTCAATGTTCATATTAAAAGGGACACGGATTACAAATTGGACGCTCGCAAGGTGAACGGCAATAAAACCGTTGTAAATATAAACGGCATTAGGGACGAGACGAGCGGCTCGATCGACTTCAACAACAGAACGAAACCGCACAAGGCCCCGCAAAAGGGCAATCAAATTGAAATTACAGAGAGGAGAGAACCCAATGAATTAGCCAAGAAATTAATCACGCATACAACTGCGACGGGCTTTAAGAGGCCGGTATTGAACAAGGTTCGTATAGAGTCGAAGCCAGCGAGCGATAAACCCGTGGTGACTGGAGTGGAGCTGAAGAAAAGCTTGCCAGAGACCAAGCCGCCGCCGGCGGATACAGCGATCGACACAACTCCTCTAAACTTTCGGGAATTGTCCAAGGCCTTCGGCCAAGACGTCTGCCTTCGGCCGAAACCGAAACGATCCACCTTGAATCGGGCCTCGGATGTCCAAATTGAAATTACTTCGAACAAGCAGAACGAACGCGTCGATTCCGAGGGAAGCAATAATGCCGTCGGCGAGCAGCGCCTAAGCAACGCCGGTAACCGAGACACGTCGAAACCCAACAGATTCGCCACGGTAGTAGGTGCGCAGCCCCAAAATCAGGGAACCTTCCCTTTTCGGAATGGCATTATTGGTACCAAAGGCGGCCAGCAGCCCGTGCCTACCGTAAAGAGTTTCAAGATTTCGACCGCAAACGAAGAACACTGCAACCAAAACAACACGAAAGAACACAAGAAAGAGCCATCTGTTATTCCTCAACCACCTAGACCGCCTACGATGCCTGTTATCACGGGGGTCACCTTGAAAACCGCCAGACCGAAATCAATGCCTGTCCAAGTAGATACGAGGGACATGTTGTTGGAATCGATTCGAAACTTTGGTGGTCGCGAAAATCTGAAGAGCGTAAGCATCTTGACGTGATTGGGGCGACCGTGTCGCGGACATTCTATTATTATTATCATTATCATTATTATTATTGTTGTTGTTGTTGTTGTTGTTGCTGTTGTTGTTATTATTGTGGGCTCCTTGAAAAAGGTAGATTACGGAACGATCAGACATAGGGAATATACAAGGAAACGAAACACTGGATCTTGAATAATACCATGAATTCGATTCTCGTACTTTTCTCAAGCAGCTTTTAAACATTTTATCGTCGGATTACAAGTTAACGAAAATTTATGATTGCAGGCTGCAGAGAGATGTTAAGCGCTTTCCATTCCTAACGGCGGATTATTCAAATTCATCGTATCCAAGATGGCGCTTGGTGCTGTTGATAAAGTCGCAGGGGTAAAAAAATTCATCGAAACTGAGGAATTTATTCGTATACGCATATATTTTTTGTTCGGTTTTGAAAATCATTCGTATGTAAATATCGTGTGTAAAAAGTCAGACAACCAGAAAAGGAAGGGTTGTCGTTAAATGATCGAAAGTGTACATATTGCATAAACGTGTAAAGTTTTCTTTTCCGATATGAACAAACAAGGCAGAGGAGAGTGTTCGCATTATCGTGTCCAAATAGTCAACGAACCGTTCGGGTTCGTTCGAAACGAGTTTGCTCATTACGCGATGCAGTCCACGCGATTTTTCTTGTTAAGTTTTTCCTTTACATTCTAGTTCGCTCAACCATTCTGTTCTACCCTCGAAGGAAAAGCGCGCGCGTGCGTGCGTGCGCACACAACACACAGAAACACATACGTACATACACGTACAGAGTTAGGTCTAAATGGTTAAACCTACGTCGACTAACACACACGTCCTAACCAATCGTTTAACATTTAAGTTTCTATCACTGGGACCAAAGGTGACATCTTTTATTTTATGTACCGTACAACGAATCTAGATATACAGTAGGGTGTGCGTATATAACTCAGAATAGTCTTTTTGTTTTTCTCCTTTTCAAGAGATAATCTGGTCAGTCGTAGGATGATAATCCGTATGATGGTAATGATAATCTTAATCGAGAGTTGTGTTTGAATTGTATGACGGTGATGCTGTTCTAATTTATGTTCCCTTCGATACAACGAAAAATCATTTAACAAAAGACTTGCGCTTTTTGTTTTTACACTGTTTACATTTTTGCTGATTATTACCGATTATTACCGATTATTACCGAACCACTAAAGGTACTGTATTAAGAATTGTTCCGAAGAATGTTTTACAGGTATTGTATACACACAGTTTAAACAGTTCAGTGAAAAATATATTGTTGCGTTGATACTTGGTTGAAAATAACGTTGCTTTACAGAAGAATTCTTATCGTTAGTCAAGACACCTGGAGCGGTGATTTCTTTGATGGATTCCGAGAATGAGAGGGAATATTCTATAGAGCTAATGGTAATCGTGTCCGATAAGTGTATGTAGTATTGTGAATAGCGTATACTGTCGATATTGTATTTAATACTTTCCTTACGTAAACAAATATAATGATACTGCGTCAATCCTATTTATATACGTATCGCTTACAGTTCCATTAAAGTCGAACAAGAAAAGCCATTGCTTTTTATTCAAGACGACCGATGATAGGATCTACAGGTGAATAATATATAAGAAAAAGTCAGTAGATTTTAATAATATTCTTACATTCGTGAAAACTACAGGTATTAAAGTAACAGAATTATGTATTCTTGTAAATATTTTAATAGTAGAAAAAAACATGCTGGTACAGTAGCATCCTTAACATATATCTTTTATTGTTGGCATTTTGTACAGAGTAGCACCCATCTCCTACGAGGACAGAAATGTGGTATGTATTCTATTTCGAATGTATATTTAAAATATACAACACTGAAAATTAACATCTTACAAACTAGTTCATAGGCACTGCGAAACAATCTCGCTTACAGACTAAACAATTTTTATAAATATATTGTTATCACAATGAAAGATATGAACGTGTATCGTCGTCGAACGAACAATCACTGATTCGGAGCTGCCCATTCTGAAAAAATCTTGTCAATGTAACGCTTGAACAGCACCAGGTACAGCTACATTATCCACCTTAAAAATCCACTAACAATCATTGAAAAAGAGATCTCTCGTATTGTCATGTTTATGTTCATATAAAAATGATTACGCCGAACATTAATTAATTGTCAGGTATTGGAGTATTGCAGTTCCCGTGCCATAATTTTGTTTCCGAATCGCACCTCGAATAATTTCCAAACACATCCGCATAACCACGGTCTCTCCACCACGTACACAACTGCCTATTCCAACCACAATCAATGGTGTGAATCAACTCTGGCCTTTCCATTCCTAGGAGCGTGTAGAAGTCTTGATCTCCCAAATGTCCCTGAAAGCAGGTATTCCCATTGATAATTAATATTATAAAAATAATCCAATTCCATGAATTGTTCCATTCGAACAGCTACCTTAAAATGATATTTTTCAGTCATCGCGTCGACGCTTTCCTTTTTAACGATATTATTGTAGGCAGAAGAATTTCGTAATCTATCCAAGTTGAAAAGTACTACCCCACTGTTGTAGCCAGGGTAACCGCCCGACTTGGCAGGTTCTCCGAAAAATGTATTCGGATGTTTGTTGCGATACAGATACAAAACGTGTCTGTAAACCGGAGTAAGCTCCGGAGCTAGACCGAATAGGGCTTGCTCTCCGAAACTGTTAAATTCCTCGAACAGTTCCTTGATATCCTTACGAAACTTTGTATCGGCATCGAACATTACCGCAAAACTTTGTTCTATCGGAGCTATACGATGCAAACCCAGAGATAAGAAAAACAATGCATCCGAGTAGTATGTTCCTGGTTTACTACTGAAATGTGGAGACATTACCGATACAATGTCTTCCAATTGGGATGCCAGTTCGTGTACATCGTAATATTGCACCTAAATCAATCAGGAGAAATGGATTAATCGATTAATCGTACAAGCCATGGAATTGTAGCGTTAAGTATGAAATTCTTTATTGGTTCGTTTACGGGTTTCCCAACACGGAACATTATATTTACCTTCATAAACTTTTCTGTCGACAACAAGATCCCTTCCAACACATTTTCTGCGACGTCCTTACTGTCATCATCGGTTATTACATGAAACACAATGTCAACAGAAGATAATCTGAGCAAAGATTCTGCAAAAATCTCAAACTTCCTTTTCATCGGTGAGTTACTAGCAACTTTTGTGAAAATGCACCAGACATTATAATAAACCTTTTCAATCTCGAGAAGCGCATTGGACGTTTCATCTTCTCCAAAGCTACTCGACTTTGTTGTCGAGGTACTTTCCTGTTCTGGAACGGTGTGTGCCAACCAATGTCTACCATTTGATGTCTGATAACAATAAAACAGCACCAGAATCACAGCTAGAACTGTCAAGTTGATCAGCACCTTACGTATCAAGAGCATTTAATTAATCACTCATGATCAGATTTCCTCTGTGCATAGTTTGCATTCAAAACAGCATCTCTATGCTGTTGCAGAATACGAAAAGCTGATCTGAGTGGATATGGAATGTTATATTTCTTTCACTAGAAATAAGTTTGTAGGTTTGAAAGTTTGAATGGAAATTGCAAAACTTTCGAGTCTTGAAATAAGAAAAATTGACGGAGGTTACTTCTACACAAAGGAATCACGGCACAAACATTTGTTGAAGTCAAGTACAGATTTCTGGATCTTGAGAATAGATTGAAAACAAAAACAATCGAATGTCGATGCAACTGGGGTTCCTCCGGAAGATCTTACTACCTGTACAGAAAACATTGCCCTCTCTGCTGTGGGAGAGGTGGATTCATTTAAAGGCGAGATTGGACGGCACCAAATAGGATTCGTTAATCTATAATTGCGTTGAGATTTTATCGCGATATCGTATCATTGTAATATTAGATTGCTAACGTATACAAAACCGTCCCCGATTAAAGGGCTTTAAAACGTCCGGCATTTTGAAAGCGAACCTTTAGTTTGTAGCACCGTCGTCGGTAGCACTGGTGTGTTACTTTAAGTTTGAAATAGTCAAATGATTATTCATGTAGATTTATAGTTAAAGCTTGAAAAGAATGCGCGAAAGCTTGAATCGCATTGTTTAATCTACAATAGTAAAGAACGATTAGAAGCAAACGATCAAAGTGTTTTTCAGCTATAGTTGTAATTTCTGATTGAAAATGTGTTTAAACGGAAAGCGTTGGTCAGATTTTTGATTGTTACTAAAGAAAAGAGATTATTAAACAGAAGTTTGCACATTTCCAGATAAAAATTGAATCGTTTTCGAAGACGACACGACTCCAAAAGGAGGAGAATCGTTTTTTCGCCTGTGTAGTCTCCAAATTGAAATCTGGACCAGTCACATACCTGTCTTCCGCAGAAGACCTACAGTATTGATCACTCCGAGAGAGGGATAGGCACGTTGGAGATAGCCGGCGAGCACGTGGCACCGCTTAAAATCCGGAGGGAGAAAGATTTTTTCTCCCCAGAAATGATGAAATAAAACAAATATCTCCATAGAGTCTATAGAATCCGTAGAATCTATAGAATCTATAGGATCGATGAAAGGGCAGACGGTACAAGAGGTCGATGTAGCTGGAAGAATGAATGAAAAATCTTTCACTGTACGTGAACCATCAATGAAATTCATATCAGGAATGTTCTACATTGTAAAGTGTCCAAGTATTGATCCAGTTTGGGTGAAAGTTAGATTTGAGAAACTTTGGAAAGTCTATTGGAAATATCGAGATTCTCCCAGTTGACTATTTTTCCAAGTATCCATTAAGTATTCGACTGGATTTTGAATAGGTTTTCTAAAGGCGAATGCTTGAAAATCGTGTCCCGTAACAAGCCTAAATGGAATTTTATTATGGTTTGAAAATCCATAATTTGAAAATCCGAATAATTTCGAGAGAATGCATCGAGTGAAATGTGATTTTCAGAAGACTGAAGCGGTGAAAAGGTCAGCTTGTATGGTTGAATCGGTAACTAGAGAACACAGTATCCATCGAATCGTCGATTACTCGAGAAAAAGGAAGAAGGCGAAGAAAAGAGCCATGTCGAATCACGGAGAATGCGTTATCTCGTGGATGAATGATTCCGTGCACGGTATTTGAAAATTGTCGTTGAGCGGTACGCGCACAATTGACTGGTTATACCAGTCGATGGGTCCACGGGAAGACGTTATCGAAGGAAGAGAACGAGAAGGGTGGCCGGGGGGAGGTGCAATCAGTGGGGTTGATAATACGAGCAAGCCGATAGGAACCGAGCCAGGAGGAGCGTAACGGTGTGTGTTCGTATATAAGGCAGGAGCAGCGAACGTCTGCTTCTGACAGCCCATTACCACTGTACAAACGCAGGCACAGAGCTCCGCTGGTCTCCCTCCTCCTCCGAAGCTCGTTCCATCCCTTTCTGCGTCTGTTTCCCTCCTCCGGCATCTGGTCGGCCCTCATCCACTCGTACAACTTGCTCTTCCTGCGGGAAGATGGTGGAACCACCTTTCGCTACACAGCCCTCTGCTCGAGAAACATGGAGATTCCGAGAGTTTCTTGGTCGATTCTCGAGGGGAATCCAGATAACTGCAGACTTTCCGGCTTTCCTATTTTGCTAATGCAATAGGATTTTCTAGGTATCGACAACTATGCGAATACTCGCGGATCTGCAGAGGGTTCTTTTCGGAGACGGTACACACTTTTCACGAGAAAAACTCGGAAATTTCAAGCAGAAGAAAAAGATGAAATAAACGGGTCAGAAAGGAAGGATTCGTAGAAGGTAATAAAACGGTTAAAGTTTGATGGTCCGTTGGTGGCATTTGTCATAAAGTTTTCTTCGCTTTTCAATCAGGCTTCCGAATTTTCCTAACCAAGGGGGAACACGGACCAGTAGCGTTGCGTTGGATGTGTTGAAAACGACATCGCGCGGCGTATCGATTGAAATTGAAGTAGCGATAACGCGATTCAATCCTAATAAAACGGCGTCTCTTCGAACCGTGGTCTCGTCGAAACGGTGAGTAGGTTCAACAAGATTATGAACCGCAGAAATAAGTTTGGCGAACGAGAGAACCTTTCCCGAGTAACGCTAATTTACAATTTCGAATTTACAATTTACAATTTCGAATTTACAATTTACAATTTACAATTTACAATTTGAATTGAATCAATTGGAGTCTCAGAGTGAAACACCGAACGGTGTGTCAAAGGGGGTTGGAAGTTGGTACTTGTAAGGGGGTTGGCGTCGATCCGTTCGGAGCACGGTGTCCTCCGAGCGGAGCAGCAAGAAAAGGACGACGGCGTAAGAAATGGAATCCGTCCGGAATCAATTCTCCGTGTATCCTTGGGGGTAGAGGACGAGGAGGCGAGCAGGTTTTTCGAGGGTGGCGTCGGGGCCACGCCTGCCACCTCGGTAGGCCACGCCCGCGCGCAAACCTACCCCCGGAGGGTCCGCCGAGAGTCGAAGGGCTAATAATTCACGTCACGAGCACACCCCACCATAAAGAGTCAGCTACAGCCGCGCCGGGTCGTATATTTCGTATCAAGCGTGCCGCATGAACGTTATCCAGTCCCAGTTACTGTTAATTACCGATCGTCTTGCGTAATTAATTGCCGGCGACCTGGAGATCTTCTCTCACGACTGATCTCCAGCGACGGTGTATCGATCCTCTGGACCGTCCGCTCTATTCGCCCACTTTGTTCAACGTTTCGTCATGAACATCGAGAAGAAATCGATGAGAAACACCATTGTTATGTCTGGAGAATGTGACGTTCATTCATCGCATATTTAGTATTGGTACTTGTCGGTAGATGGAAATTATTGAATAGGTACATACATACAGGTATATAGGTACAAACAACGCGATTAATAACGTTTGAATCGTACGTATTCAAGTACGATCAGAAGTCAGTTTCTTTAGCCGGTTTATACGAATTATTTTCCGTTAGCATGGAAGGATACAGACTCGTCGTATTTCGCATTTCGTACAGTATGGTTTTCGGGACAATACGTTACCGCGATAATCTATTTCACCGGCATGCAATTTTATGCGGATTAATAGAAATATTTTCGTTTTAAACGATCGATATCATCTTCTGTCATTTATTATCTACCCTCAAAGCAAGATACCCCGAAGGGAGATAATTAACTGGGCTGACAATTATGTAACGTATCGACTCGTTTACATTCGGACGTTTAATCGTTATTCACCATTCTCGTTCAATTGCCAGGAGAGTAATTGCTTTTCGTTTTCATGCAAACGCAAATCGGGTTACAAAGCGCGATCAAAGAAAAATGAAAGAACAATAAAGAAGAATCTGGATATTTGTCGAGTAAAATCCAGTCTACCGATCGATACAATCGAATAGCGGAAGTCGAAAAGAAGAAGAATAAACGAGTTGACACGATACGGATGAAAAACGAAACTGTAGACCTATGGGAAACGACATGAAAATGTTCTCAGGAATCAGCTATCCGGATAGCTGGTACGTATCTGGTGCGCGGATCGGCCGATTCGGAAACTGTCGCAGGAGCTGAACCCGATGAAAGGATCGACTTTGCCGGCGGTGGAGGTTTGCCCCTAAAATTAGCCACAGTGACATATCGAGGAGTGCGTCGAGACCGGGCGGGTCAGCATCCCCTTGCCTGCCTATTAGGCACAAAAGCGGTGCCCTGGGAAAATCAACTGACGCGTAACTAAACGGTGTATCATTAATTCTCGCGTGTATGTTTATATCGTCGGCGTTAAGCAGCGTGCACCGCGCGCGTTTGCACGGCCAATTTTCCGTGACAATTGCTTTTTCTCTCTTCGGTCTCGTCATTTCATCTGGCCGTTTCGTCGAAAATCGTTTCGAACTTGTTACCCTCACCGAGAGAACTCGAGAAGGTAGAAACGAATCAACGAATTCACGAATTAACGAACAAGCCTCGGGAAACTACGAGACGAGAAGCAGCTCGAAAACTTTCCATTTTCTTCGTTTTTTTCGTTTCCAAGTACCTACTTTCCCGTCAGCGCCGGGAATTCGCTCGGTACGAACAGCGCGTTCTTCTTTTTCCGTCTGCGCGAAGATTGTACATATAATTAGCGAGAACTGTGCGCCGCGCGCGGCTCTATTTTTTCCGGTTTTCTTCCGAACGGTTTTTCCTGCCTTTCGCTTCTGTCTTGCCCGACACCTGGTTCTCTCTCCTTTTTTCATTTTCCCTTTGTTTTTTCCACCGACACCCTATCGCGACGTACGGATACCTTTCGTGCCAATCAACGGGTCTCCATCGCCGAAAGGTGAACGCCGATAATTCTCGCCGAGAAATCGACGTTTTCGCTCGACAGCTTCATCGTGAAAGAAGCTAGAATTATTCGAGATCAGCGGTATCAACGGCATAACTCTAACCGCTTCGGACTGTTATTCTATCGTACAATTAATTGTTTATAATAAGTAGCAATTCCTTAACGAACTTTCCAATTGTAGATTTAATGGAAAATTGAGGAGGATCAAGAGGAGGATGAAGAGGAGGATGAAGAGGAGGATGAAGGTGGAGGATGAAGAGGAGGATGAAGAGGAGGATGAAGGTGGAGGATGAAGAGGAGACTTTTGCGACCCCCTTGGTTTCTGGCACTTACGGGTGCCCCGAAGTCGTCCCACCGGCGGTCACGTGCCGGAGCGTGCCGTCCTTTGTCGTCCTTTGTCGTTGCTTCTGCACTCTCGTTTGCCCTTCGGTGGGGAGGATCATCGAGGTTCAACGTGCAAAGACACGTGTACCAAATAGGCTTGGTGGACCAAAGCCTGTTTTCCGCGGCCAAGGACCACCGTCGCGACGGCCGCGGACACAATGGGACGTGCGGTTCTCGAGCGGAGCTCGATTGGAAGGATCGCCGACAGCCACCGAAGCGAATAGGTTACATTTTTCAATTCCATCAAATTCTTCTAACATTTCCAACAGAAATATTATGTATTTGTATAATATCGTATCGTCTTTCAGGCTGGAGCCCGCCTCGCAAGATCATGGTCCGTGATTTTCTGTTTTCAGAGAGGAAACTGATATATCTGCGTATCTATGTATGTATCTACATAGCAATCTACTAGGATTTCCGGCAGCTGTTAATATTCCTTCAGATTCTGAGGCATCACCGAAGCATTCTTCGCGAATGTAGACTGGACGTTAGATTCCTTCCGAGTCTCGGAGTTTCTTC